CCTCAGAGCCTTGAACACACTGGTTGCAAGAAGCAGCAGGAGCCTATACGGGTGAGTCCGCGCTGCTGACAGGCTGATGGATCATATGACAGGTGACTGAGTGCCCGTCACTGTGCCCTGGTAGAGTGAGCTCCCTTCCGTTTACGACTGCCGAGTTGAAGACTAAAGTCGGATGGCTGAGAGTCAGTGTAGATCCGCCTTTTCCTCTCGAGGGCCTCGATGGATGTGAGGCTTCCTACCGCAGAGTGCCGTTGGGAGTCCTTCGTCATTAGGCACCGTACACAACAACATCGGCATTTTGTTACGACCATTGCTACCATTGTCTGATTCCGTCAACCCTCCACGAGAGATATTCAAGATGCCTCTCAGTATGCTAGTAGAGGCCGCACATGGGAGATGTCCCATCTTGCGGCGATCGAGTGAGGATCGCTATCATCACGAGGAAGACCCTCGACCAGGCGACTCAGTGGTAGTCGAAGATAACGGAAGATGCAACCGTCAATGTGCTAATATCATGCGATGTCTGGACGGTTACTGGTACCCTTCCCAAATTTACCACATCTACCATATCACTCGTAATCAGGGAGCGAGACCTTTCTCGCGTCCAATGCACGACTTCACTCCCACCGAGGTGGAGGAGCCGATCTTTCAACTTTGAGGTGGGACTCGATCAGTAACCATGGCTGATGAGAGAACTTATACGGGATCCGTGACTCAATGACTTTTAGGGATCTAAGGAGACTTTAGACTCCGAGTTGTTGAAACTGTAAGATTCCACCGATTCCTCAAAGTCAATATCGTATATCATTCAGTGGTCGTTCACTAGAAGGAAGGCTTATCCCTTTATTAAAGTCTACACTTGGCATCGATGCTCTGCGGGGCTACGCTGATAATTTGGGTATCAGCAGTGCCAACTACCAAGACGTGGATTTCCTCGTCCAACGAATTGCTGAGGAGTTGGTTGTCAGAGTCACACAGAGCATACAACCAGCGAGGCTTGGTGAGATTCCCAACCCATACCATCCACAGCACTTTCCCAGATTACTCTATGTTCCAATCACAGTGGCGAACTGAACTGAGGGAGGCTGTGCAGTCGAAGCTTCCCGTAAGAATCTGGGCTGAGGGGAGCTGCTGGAGGCGGCCTCTTGTGATTCAGGAGGCAGTTGCCAACCTCGCACCTGGGGCGGTAGATAGTACTTGTCACGAAGTGGCAGAGAAGGTGTTCAAGCCCAACACTACTGGACAGGCTGAGTTTGTTGGGACCAGCCAGCAACGAAACGATTGTAAGGTTCGTGATAAATCTGCACCGCTAGACGCATCCAGTTAGCCTCCGACGGAGGAAGTGGTGAAGGCACCTCCCGTGCTGTGTCTCTCTATGGTGATGTTGCCCGGGTCAATGCTCGGAGGACAGCTATGAGGCAAAGTGGAGTCCTTGGAGTATCCTGGAATACGAAGGAGAAGGGATGGTGTGCTCACTGGTGTGCAAAGGATGGACGGAAAGTGAGCAAATGGTTCCCCGTCTCGAAGTATGGTGATGAGGAGGCACTGGCTTTGGCCACGAGTGAGCATAAGCAACTTTGAGTAATGCTACGTCATCCTGGTTCCTCAGAGTGCCGTAGGGATGCCGAACGCCGTGGTGAGGCTGTACCCAGTATCAAAGGAACGTGTGCCAAACAAAGTGGTGTGGTTGGAGTGAGCTGGACGCCTCCTTGTTACTGGACTGCTAATTGGATGGAGAACGGCAAGCAAATCAAGAGGCATTTGTCAGTGGAGACATATGGTAGCAACTCGGCAGCATTAGAAGCAGCCATTGGTGAGTCCCCACTGTCCGCATGCTCAATCAATCCCCTTCCCTCAGCTCTACGTCGATCCAAAGTGCCCGAATGATGTCCGCATGTTATGATGTTGTCTTTATGGTCACAAGTGGCCTTTTTCTCTCCTTTCTGTGAACGAGCGTTGCGTTATGTAGTCTTGGAATCGCAATAAACTTCGTACTGACAACACTACTCTTTGTGAACGCCAGAATATGTGCACCTCTGCTAGGGGGATCCATGTTTCAGAAGACTTCCGGAACGGTCATTCTCCCGGACGAGCGTCAGTGAGGCTCTTCGCCGTGGCGCTCCCCCGGGGTCTCCATGTCTTGGTTGATCCATCCATCAATGCTCATCATGCACGTGCCCCACCACGCTCCGTTCATCCCCTTATCACGTCTTGGTGCAACTATCCGAGGGCCCAAGGCTACTATTGAGCTGTTGAACGTGAGTTGCCACCCCTTGAGGCACGGGGAGGGTGGCCTCGGGTCTCCTTCTAGAGGAATCTTTCTACATGTTAAAGATCTTTGAATCAATACGGTGGTGGTTGAGTGGCATTCAGGGGAGAAGCCTCGTGTATCAGGGACTGCGCTCATTGACGACGTCAGACGTTACGTCTGTCATGACACTGACGCTGTCCACCGGGTATCTTGCCGAATTTCGTAGATATCAATCCCACTAGAGAGGCTCCGCGTCCGCCTGATTATGTATCGAGGTGCGTCAATGTGCGTACTACTCATACACGCGCGCACAGTTGTGTTATTGATCCAAGCCTACTTCCCGTGAATTCGAATCAGTTTGACCTATGAGTGAATCTCAATGTTTCCGCTTGTTTTACTTCTATCTCCTCCGCTATGGGAATTCTGTCGAGGAACACGCTTTGTTGTACATGAACACAAGATGACTTCATATTCCACGACGACATCACACGACAGGTCAACGAGTTATCGCTTCCTGACAAGTTTCATCAACCTTGCCGAGTCTTTGGAGGAAGCACCGCTCTCCTTGTCCCCAATGACCTCTTTCCATTCTTTCGATTGGGCGCGTTGTTCGGCCGTCGATAATCTAATTCTTTCCTAGCTGGAACGTAATAACCTTCCACACCCTATGAGGTTGCGAACATCTATATTCGATGGCTTTCTCTTCTCTACAACGAAGTATGTTTGATTTTGAGATGACTCAGTAGAGGTGGGACTAACCGAGAGATACCAATAACCGGCGAGCCTCTCATGTGTAAAAGGAACAGTAACTGTCCGCTTGTGAGCACAGGAAGGGGGGAGAGACAACACTACAGATGTGCTTTGACAACAAGTGATGTTGAACAGGACACCCAGCATGCAGTTCGATCATCACCACCACCACATCGAGTTGATTTAAGTAAATTCACAGATTCGTGGTATAGACTATAGGTTTAAATTTCATTCATTAAGATTTGAGCTCGGACAACTTCTCACGATAATCGAAAAAACGAGAACCTGAGGCAAACTAGCCTGGGCAAGGGGTTCCAAGGCGAGCTTACTTTAGTCGTCAAAGGAAAAGGTTAAATCTCCATGATCATCATCTATCGTGCCCGAGCCATCGTCAAACATCTGCAGCAAGTTCTGATACAAAAACAGTAAAAATACCAACCCTCCTCAGCTCACCTCGTCATCATAATACTCCCCTTCTTGGTCCTCTCTTCCGTTACCTCCATCCTGGAAACGCAACGATACCATTTACGACCAACCATAATAAGGTCACCTCGTCGAGCATTTCAATTCCCTCCTCCTCCTCATCATCATCATAACCACCAGCAGCAGCAGTATTGAAGTCCCCCTGCTGTCCCTACACAACTGCGCTGTTCTACTCAACGACTAGGGCAAAACGATTAGAAAGGAAAGGGCAGATATATACACAGATAAGTTAGAAGCGATACATTAGCTAAGGAACAAGACTACGTAGCTATTTACTGATGATTGTATATTGGGACAGTGCACGATGGTATCCAGAGGTCCCCATGGTAAGATACAAATTAGGTCCACTTACATTCAGGCCATCCTCAACAATATCAATCCTTCGCTGTTCAATATCCTCCTAAGAACTACTCATTGCCTCCTCATCGCATTCCAACACCCACCACAGGTAATCTACGTTCCCTCTCCTCCTGTCCGCCCTCACCCCTCACCAGAGGCCCCTAACACGATCACTCCGCACAGCGAAGATTCCAGAAGATACGCACGCACCTTGAAGATTCTTTCAAAGATACTCCTCGGCGTATCATGGAATTGCACTGTGGCCGTGAACTCCTTGAATTTCCTCTCGTCCCTCCAAATTCTCACCGGTCCAGTTGCGCTATGGTCAGTGACTTTCCACCTCAAAGGCTCCGCCACTACGACTACTCGTGGCCTCATCTTCCCTTCATGCAATACCACATCAGTATCAATTTCGCCGTCAGAAGTGATTCGAGACGGCGTGGCGATGTCAGTTTTCACGAAATACTTTTTTATATTTTTCTCATCTCTAAGGACCTTCAACGCGTTCTTCTTGGTGACTTTAAAGTTGATCTAAATATGGTAATCACAACAGCGGAGCGAAGCAGCCAGGAGCTTATATACGAATTCCGAAACCAAGCAGAATTCCCTCAACATTTTCATATTGTCATCACCAACACATGTAGTTGACCATGTGCATATTTTACCACACCAACTCCAACATGTTCCCCCTCACTGAGTAAGTCGTTTTCAGGTCGGCCATTGGTTCCCCAGAAGTGTGGGGGATGACCATCGGTACCTTGATACCATTCCATCACAGTTGAGATTCTGAGCTCCTCACCTCCATAGTCGATGTAAGAGGAAGACTACTAGTAGCAGCTAAAGGCAAGGCCTCTACCACAACAGGGACCTAATACCGAGGTCCCAGGTTCTATTCCTGGCAACGGCATTTCTCACCCCTAGTGCACGTCGTAGGTCGTTCAAACTGTCAACATCAGCCTCAACTTCCAATTTCACTTCCTGCTGTAAAGTAGACTTCTTGCCGTACACAACCTTCACCATTCCAGTGAAGGTGCTAACACAAGCAGTTCGTCGTTAAGTATGGTCACGCGAGTACTCGTGTGAGCTCAGAGGATTCGATTTTATTTTTATTTCTCGGTAAGTATCCTTAGTTATATGATATATCGGAGTTTCACCCTAGTGATGTGAAAGAAAACACTAGTGAAAAAACATATCTCACAGTTCACTTCGTGGGAAACACATGTGCAAAGTGAATAACACATAAAAAACGTGATGTGTTTACATCAGATTTTACCTACCGTTTAGATGCAGAGCTCTCGCTGAGTTCCTTCCAAGTATTGGGTACGATCTCCACGGCATCAGGACGATGTGGGAAGAGAGCGGTAGCGATGGTGCCTTTGTTGAAGTCAAATTTTGCCTCTTTTTGGGTATTCCTCTTAGGAGTTGCTTTCCTCGCAGCAAAGCCTGGATTGATTTTCGTCTTGGCGCCGATGGACAGATGAGCCTGCATACACTTGGGTGAGGTGGGCCGCTATCGGACCTACTTTGAATCTTTTGGGTTCATGCTGTGGATTCTCGAAGATTCCTTCGCGCTTGTGCTGACAAGTAATAATAACAGAAGTAAGCATTTCAGGTAGAACCCCACCAAACTCGACTCCGGGTCAAACAAGTCTCCAACTCCTCCAACAATATCATCCTAAATCGCAACCCATCACCCTCATAATCTCACGCGAGGCCCACTCACTTCAAAGTGGACGAAGGAGCTGATAGTTTCGATAGCATCATGACAGGTAGGGAAGTCGCTTGAGGTTTGATCGTAGGCCATCGTGAATTTCACGTCTCGCTTCTTGAGGAAACCGCCTAAGGTTTATGTTCGCTTCCCTCGAGTGTAGTGAGTTTACATACGAAATCGGCTAGAATTGTACAGAAACCAATAAGAACTTCCTAAAATTTCCATATTCATCACCAATACATGTAGATATTTTCTCATACCACGCCTCGCCCAACTCACGAGCCCTCGTCGAGAACAACCCAACCTCCTCCTCCCTCTTGCATGCGCCTCTCTGTACAACCACATCAGAGACTAGCAAGAGCTCTCCCTATAGAAAGAGTCTCCATCAGAATCTTGCCCATCCTCACTACAGCCTACCTTGTCATCGTTGCATGCCAGTATCCTCTCCTCGGGCTGATACCACACCACGCGCAACTTCTTTCCCCTGAGCCTCGGCACCAGCCCTTTATCATTGAACTGAATGACGAGAGCTCCATCACAGTGCTAGTATGAGCTGCTCAGTTACCTCTATCGTAAGACCGCTACTACTAAGATCAACCTAAGATGAATCTTTGACACTCATCCGTATTAGCAGCAACAACCCTACATGTTTAGTCTTCTGCTCATACCCGGCCTTGGCGAGGACTTTTTGCACTTCTCTCGAGAGTGGAATTTTCTTTTTATTTTTCCCTTTTTTCAACTGCATCAGTAAGAACATCAGCCAGCTCCTCGTAGGCTCACTTACATGATAGGCATTCCACAGCTCCACGCAGTGTGAGACAAATTCCCTCTGGCCACCCATTCCAGAGTAGACGTATTTCAGCTGAGTATTGCCACCACCACCCTTACGCTTTTTTGACCCTGTTACAGCAGAGTCCATAGTGATGAGCCAATTGCCATCATCGCTTTGTTGACATTTTGGAGGAGATTTAATAGTGACCTCGCACAGTTGGACCTAGGATACTTCTAAAGGGGTCTTCCGTTTCGGTCAACTCCACCTCAGATAGAGATTTGCCGTCTTGATTAGTACCCTGGCCGCAGACTTGTTGTAACTTCGCGATCTGGAAAATGAGAGAATTTTATTGGGAAATTTTCAAAGCCCTCAGCTGCATTCTCACTAATTATGGTTAAGTTCAATGAGTAATCACAGTTGAATTAAGATATTTGATTTTATGTATACATTGTTTACCCATTTAGCGTGAAATGCTGTAATACGCCGTATTTCTTTCCGACCGGATACACTAAAAGAATTTTGGAATATGTTTTTTTCCAATCACGGGTGAAACTCCATCAGATTGATGTCATTAATTTAGAGCATTCATTGTAGTTGTAGAAGTGCACAGGAATGAGAATTTCCCAAACTGGGAATTCTGCGAGAATCGGGAATCCCAAATTCTCTTGTATTGTCCCAACACAGAAAATGCAAGAAACCTCGCAAAACCCCCAGACTCGCGTACTGAGTCTTTCTGATGTGTTATGGAGGCGGTAGTGGGCATCTTGAGCTGAAGAATAGGAAACATCATCTACTAGCAGTTGCCTCCACACTGCTTACCTTCACTTGGTGGGGGAAGGATTTGGGGCTCTCCCATTCACGGAAGGTTATGTCAATGCCGTGCTTGGGCATCTCGATGTGTCGGTGAAGGGCACTGGTCTCGGTACCATTAACCTGGTAGAACCTCGTGATGAGGGAGATGGATGGTATGTAACTTACTACTGGGAGGGGAGATGAATACAATAGGAAGAGACAGGTCAGGGAGAGCCTATTGACGTTGGGCATATGACGACAGACTGGAAGCTACTTCGATGAATGTGCCCAAGCTGAGTAAAGCGACATGTAAATCATAGCAGTGCTGGGCAGAATAGAGAGCAGTGCTATGCCCTCCCTCCTAAGGTGTCAGCCACAGTCTAGTGGGAGGGTTGGGCTGGTAGCCCACGGGGTAGTAGAAGATACTCTTTCTGTTTCCTGAAGGATACTAAAATAAGTGGAGAAATTAGGGTATACTCTACAAACTGCCATTCGGGAAGTCCCCAGTTCAATCCCCGGTGCCTGTCTACTTCCCTCCTGAATTATGTCTCTCAAGAATCCTCGCACCGTTGGCGCCCTATAAGTAGTAGCAAGTGGACATTGAGGAGCTTAGAGGCTCTACTCCTCCACGTGCGTTTGGAGGACCCCTCGTGAAGGCTCTGGTTCCAATGCTTACATTTTGATGAAAATATTGTCAAATAGGCCTCGAATGGAAATTATACTATTGATCTAAGTATTCGCGTTCGCCCTGGAATTTTACTAGCCCGAAAATTAATAGAATATCAGTTGCGCGTGCGTGCGTCCGTGGTCGTGTTCCCCGCGTTCCCAGAGCGTGCCTCATCGGCTAGTTGACTGCTAGATGCCATTATGGTCTCAAGGGAAATCAAAGGATACTAGCGTACGAGCAAGTGAACTTCATGAGACCAATAAGGCTCGGGTAAGACTGATCACCTGTCACACTGCACGCATACCCATTGTTCTTCTCTATTATAGGCTGTAATCAGGCAGTAGTTGAGAATTATGTCTCTGTAGCTGAGTCGTCCAATAATGTGATACACATTCTCACATCCATTGGCTTTCCGGATTCATCTTCTCCAACCACGGCGTTCTGCTTCAGTGCGACTTCTTTCATTAGCTTCTCGACTTGCTGCTGCAGGTATTGAATAGGGTCGGCATTCGAGAGTGACATGAGGGGCGCAAAAATAATGCAAACTTGAGCCAGATGGCTACTTTTAAATATTATCATTTTCATGCACTTGTACAAACTTACCGATCTGTGCGTGTGCGTGCATGCTTTGGCCAACATAGTTTGGTGAGCTGCAAACTTGTAGAATGGCGTAACCTCTGTGATGGGCCGTAAGAAGCCAGAGGACAGTGAAAGTCAAAGTGTGTCATATATATGTAAGGAGCTCTGTGTCGTTGGCTCAACGAGGCTACTTCTGCTGAGTTGAGTAGCTGACTGGGCAGCTTGCCAAAAGCTGGTGACCCTAGATCTGTGGGCACCTTCTATGAATAGGATGGACTTATCTGAGGTGGATAATCAGCACTACTGATGGATCCAAGTTTTCGAATTCCACGAGAGACCACTGTTCATATGTCGGAATTGAGTTTGCGAAGTATGCGGAGGCTCCGCAGCGGAGCGAAGAGTGTTTGCGAGAGTTTCGAGTTCAAGAGTTAGTAATGGACTTAGTAATCGAGTTAGTAATTGACAAATTGTGGATGACCCGTCTGGAGATGTGGGATACTAAGTACCTAATCTGTCAACCTTCGGGTTTGTTATTGCCTCCACACCATATAGTCTCCGAGAGTTCTGGATTTGTGACTGATGGCTGTCATCGATACTGACGAACTTGGCGAGGATGGTCAGGCGCAAAGCCGAGCGATTAATCTATCGGATCGATGAATGATCCTTTAAAAACGATCTCCCACAAGACTCCATCACAGCAGCATGTTCCTCGCACGTTGTCATGGATACTGATCCGAGTGATATAATGTCGTTGCTCGGGGGGGGGACTGGCGACCTATGGATTGCCAAGTACGAACTTCGTAGTACGAAGCACGAGACCCTTGAACTCAGTGTAAGCGGCGTAATCTTCACAATCCCCGGGATTGAATCCCGAACAGGTGACGGCGCGTCACTGACGGGATACAATCAGGATTGCCGCAGTGGCTTCTCCGAAGGTCGGACAGAGGCAATCAAGTAATAGTTAGAGTACCCTGCGACATACGGAGCCGCAATTTCTCGTGATGGAAGTATTGAGCGAGGCTGTTCGTGATGGGTCCACAAACGCATCAGTGTAGCGGCAATGAGGTCAGCTTTGGCCACGAATGAAGGATTGGAGGAAGTGGTCGTTGCAGATATCACACAGTGGATGATGGAGATGATGGACAGGTTGAGGAAGGAGGCCGATAGATGCTGTAATCTAGTAGGTTCCTTTCGCGGTGCTCGTCTTGCTTGGGACTCGCCAAATGTTGAGTCTTCAGACGTTCCGTTCCTTTGATGTAGGAACACGCTAGTGCATTGGCTGTGAGCTGTTGAAGTCACTGAGAGAACAATTTGAGAAGGTAGCGGCATCGTTGTCGCCATCGGAGGCATTGTTCGCGACAACATGTTACATTCATTGTTGTTAGAGGCTTCAAAGTTGGCGTCGTCAGTGTGCCGAAAAGCATACTGTATGTCTTGGATGGTCCTCGTTGCAATTACCCTATCATAAGTCGTATGTATGGCACTCCATAGGCACCAATATCTTGTATTAATACAAGTATTATATAAGTATTTTAATACAGGTATTATTCCCTGTATTATCTTGGTATCATCTTGTAGAGTCACCCTGCCATACAAGAAACCGCAAGCAATATTCGACGAAAATAGGGGAACTGATACAATCATAGTCTTCATATTAAACCGTCCGATGAATTGCTACGCCATCAGAGCTCCTCAAATCAGAGACTGTATCAATAGGACTAAAGTGCTACTACTCATGGAATGTGATATCACCCCTGTCACTTAGTTGCAAGCGTTATAGCGTGAATCATCACTGTGATGACATCACGACATCACAGCATGTTCACTTTGGAGCTAATCGCTCAAGTGTAGCGGCCAAATTCAGTTCCTTGTTCGGCCATATGATGCACTCATGATGAACTCAAGAAGTTCCAATGTTTTAATATGTGTAAGTTAAATCCTAATCTGCTGACATGGCGGGCTCATTAGCCGAAAAGTAGTTTCTCAATGAAACGAATGATTCGCCGAATAGCATTCCTCTAAATAGTAAAAGGCCAGCATCCAGCTAAAAGTCTTCCCACGGAGCGGTCATGAAATGGACAACGACAATGGAGGGCATTCCACAGCGGAATTTCCGCTGTGAGCCGCAGATTCCAAAGAAAACCACAAAAGAAGGGAATTGTTCACGGAGATCGCGATTTCAACTTCCCGATTCCGACTCGTTTGGAAGCAGGGTCGAACTCGAAATAATGATCAATAAGCATACGATCGAAGAAAAACGAAATATTCCGTTGGGACTCCGAGATCAGGAGTGAACAAACATTAGATACATTCCTGGCATAAATCTTGTATGTCGCCGTGAATGGAGTTATGCCCTTAGGGCCCAAGTCGAACCTCAACAGTGGCAACTTACTCATGTATTGGCAAGGGAAGTACCATTTCCTTGCCCTACTGAGCTTGAAGTCGACATGCGTACCCGCAGCCTTGTCAGTTTGAGCTTTAATATCCTCAATGAGGCCGTCATAGTATAATTTTGGGACGAATAGATTATTGGAGCCGGTGTCGAGGCACAAGTTCATATTGATTCCAAGAGTTATACGTCCATCGCCGACTTGTAGCTTGTCAATATTTACCATGTAATATTTCTCCTTAGAGAAGTCGATGTACTTCAGTCCCCCTTCATATAATGCAGGATCGCCTCCACCCAGGAGTAGGCCTCCATCAACGGTTTGCTTTGAGGGATCAGCGGGAGGATACAAGTAGAGAGCAAAGATACCCGTCGTTACAATTTTTGATGATAGCAACTGCTTCATCAGAGACGGGAAGTTCACATCACCTTGATCATAGCCAAGACCCATCGAGTTAATCGGAACGTCTTTACTAAAAGGAGAATTTTGGTCGAATATGAGCCCGAAAGTGAGAATCGGCGACACCCGACCCACCGTCAATTTTGCTTTATGCTGAAAAATTTTCACCGTGTATCCATCCGCGTAAGTACAAGTTCTCGTCACTTTACCCACAGAGCAAGGCTCCGAACATTTGTAACACCCCATGGCCCAATCACTGCAGAGACTTCCACTGGCTTTCTCAAACCAATTCTTCCAGATGAGAAAGAAGGAGCCCGCCCCAGTGTCAACGTGAGCCTGTAGCTCCTGGCCATTCGAATCGACCAGAGTATGAAACAATCCGAAGCCAAATCTAGGCATATATCCGTACTTCACATCGAGCTTGAGAGTTCCTCCCCGGGAGACCTTCAACACGTGAAATACATAAACCAAGGCGAGTAGTCGGACGGGCATAGGAGAACGCATTTTGGTCAATATTTTGGATCTCAACACAGCCAAGTGCCACGTTTTTGTCTTACGGCTCGTGCGCACCTGCTGGCTCGCGACAACAACTCTCGAGAACCGAAATCATCAAAAGAAAATCAACGGTTTCAATTCGGTTTTGATCGGTTTTGGTCGGTTTACCGACCGAACCGGTGCGATTCATCTACCGATCGAAACCGAAAATCCACGATTTTTCCGATTGTGCGAACATTTTCCCGGTACAATATACGTATGCGCTTCGTGCGGCACAGGGTGGTCGAGAATGGGAAGAGTGAAACTTCCAGATGGAAAGTTTCCGGAAACTCTCCGGCCGGAAATGAGGCCTAGATGGGACCAATCACAACTGGGCGTCGAGACTCTCGACTCGAGAAGTAAGACGAGTGTAAGTAACTGAGAATGGTTATCCCTGCACTCTTGAAGTTATTTGTGCCCTCAAGCCATTAGCTATGCTCTTACACAGTTGCACGCATACTCAAAGGCTTTTCTGCGCCTTGGTTAAGCTTTAGTTGGGAGTCAACTTAGGCACTCAACATCTCTGACCCCACATAGCTGTCTCTATAGGGTATTTAGCACACGCCCGTGTGCACCGACCGTCCTACTTGACATGCTGTTATCTGGGTGATGACTGTACCACGAGTGAGAATCTAAACTGCAAATTCCCCAAAAAACAAGAATTGCAGGTGAAAGCGGAGAAATGGAATCCCGAAACCCCACCAGGAACCGACGGGAAAATCAGGGGCATATTTCACAAGCGTCCTAATGTTAGGATTTTAACCCATTAGGATGCAATCTAAGGGTAAATGGCGTTCACAAGGGCCCTTTCCTTAGGTTAGGTTAGGACTTTAGGACATTAGGATCCTTACCGTTAGGATTTAGGATATTAGGATGCCTTTATCCTCAAAAACAGGCTGTTAGGACGCTCGGCTTTCACAAGCTATATTTTTAAGGAAATTTTCATCCTAATGGTAAAGTACCTCGGGGGGGTACTTTACCGACCATCCTAACGTTAAAGGTGTACAAGACGACTCGCTACGTTCCGCCAAACAGTCGTTGGTTCGAAACTCTGCAAGTACATTTTTAAATTAATTTGTAACTTAAACAAAAATCTCACAACTATTAACAAAACTCTTTACCAAGTTCGATACTTATCTGTAGTAACCGGAACTCTTATTTGAAGCCAAGCCGTAATGCAGGAGAGGACGAGCGCTAAACTCCTTTACAAAAGAGGCCTATCCTTGAGAAATGAGGATTTACCCGCACGAAGGAACCACATGCCCAACACGGACCCCATGTTCATTGAATCAATTGTGGGTCAATTCAGAATCGATTCTAGCATGATATTATACGCGTATTAAGCGACTCCGGAAACAGTTCTGAGTTCCGGTTTATCGAACGACCCCGGAATGTCGTGGATTCATCTGCTGTGTGAACCTTTACGCGAAGGGTCCAACTGGGACTAAGGCCTGACACAGCTGTCCGATCCTATCATGTTCCTGGGATCAATATGAAGGCATCGCCGTACTCAAGGAACTATTTTAAATTGATAAAAAATTCTAACCCGTCGAGGAGACCTCTCGACCATTATAGCCGGGCTCGGCCTCACAGCCGTACCCGAATTACGGTTGTAGCCACTAATGGCCTGATTCTTGAAAGCTTAGCTTTCGATCAAAGTCGTGGAGCACCCGAAACCGTAAGATTGGCGCGCGCATTTCGATTGTGTTACTTGTCTGTATCGAGAACAACCCTCTTTACGCTTTCACTCACGCCACAGTAATGCTGTTCTTGCGCTAACCAGTCTATTATCCGTGGAAATTTCATATTTTAAAGGAAATTTTAGGAAAAAGACGATTAACAGACATTGAACTTATCCGTAGTGCTCCGGAAGCTCCGAAAACAATTATTCAGTTAGACGATATACAAGACATAACGAATTGACCACCGCATACGCGATCAGGACCGATTCACGGAGAGATCGATTGAAATGACGCGCGCCAGATGTCATAACTGTTTCACAACATGGTGATTTCATGTGTGCTGGTATACAGCATCATGTTCAACATGGTCCATGTTGTCAATATGGTATGCTATCTTCAATGCTTCGAGTAGCTCTCTAGAAGTCTCTGTTATAGTCAGGATGGAGCTCACTCACATTGATCCGAGTCTACTACACAGATTTGTTGATATATGCCCAAGTTGGATCAGCCGAATGACGACGTGGTCTCCGATGAAAGACGTCTTTATCTCTAGCTGAACCCTTTGAAGATTCTTCACGGTTACAGAGGAGAGGGTTGCTGATGATAAGATCCAAAATACGTTCATCTGCCGGTGTGGGTGGGATCAGGGGTTCGACAAGTCTACTCGTCGAAGGGACCATGTTCGCCGTGAACACTAGGCCGAATCGGGCCTGCTACAAGTGGTAGCCTACCACCCCCTACCAAGAAGTGTCGAAAACTCCGAAGGTATACTATGATGACCTCAACAGCAAGCACCAACAGCGATCCTCCGGGAGGATTCCTCCCCTCAAGTTTGCTCCCAAGATTTCGGACTTCTTGGTTAAGGTGCAAGCTGGGGATCATTTCATAAGAATCTTGTTGCTCTGGCTACGGCTATGAACTGGAGTCTCAGAGACATTACTTCTAACAGCACCAGTGCGCTCCTAGGCTCGCTTCATCCGGGGTACAAGTCGCTCACATATGAAGAAGTAAAAAAGATCAGGGGTGATATTTTTAGAGAAACTGGGGAACTCTGTTTGAAGGAGTTTTTCGACAAGATCAAGCAGAGATCTTCAGAGCAACAAGACCTCCGCCGTATCCGGCGGAGCGAAATTTTTTTTCCACCTTTGAAACAAATTTCATGGAAATTTCCGTATGAAATTTCAATTTCAGAAATGGCCTTGCGATTTCCATGAAATCGACAACCCTGCTTGTAGAGTCACCCTGCCATACAAGAAACCACAAGCAATATTCGACGAAAATAGGGGAACTGATACAATCATAGTCTTCATATTAAACCGTCCGATGAATTGCTACGCCATCAGAGCTTCTCAAATCAGAGACTGTATCAATAGGACAAAGGTGCTACTACTCATGGAATGTGATATCACCCTTGTCACTTAGTTGCAAGCGTTATAGCGTGAATCATCACTGTGATGACATCACGACATCACAGCATGTTCACTTTGGAGCTAATCGCTCAAGTGTAGCGGCCAAATTTAGTTCCTTGTTCGGCCATATGATGCACTCATGATGAACTCAAGAAG